TATGTTAGTATCTGTCTAACCAATAGTAAATGTGATTTGATAATTTAGTAATTATTTTAAGTTATGAAGATTGCGGCTTGATGTCTGATAAATATTTTGTCAATGTGTATGGCTAGAATTTCTAATATTTATTTTGACAATAAATGTTGCTGGGAATCTGAGTATATGGGTGAGAATCATGATGATCTATCCATTAATTTATTTGTTTTGAGTTGAATAAACTCGTAGATTGAGGTTATGATCTTATTCACCATAAATGGAATAATGGGAAATACTTGTAATTACAAAATTGGTTGCTATGGTTACCAGAATTATGAGTATATTGATGAATTCTTGTTAGTATTGCCATTCTTTGTGATTGTGCAAAGATTGGTGGTGATTGTGCAAAGATTGGTGGTGAAGTCGTGCTGAGACGATGATAATTGTATTCGATGTTGTCGAGCTTGATGTTAATTAAATTCGATTATAATTAAAGAGTAAATGCCATTTCGAAATTGTTATTCGGTTGAATTGTGGCAGTGGTGGATATGGAATTGATACTAAAATTTCGTCTTGAAATTTTTTTTAAGGGAGGAAGAATGTGAAATCCCGTTCCTGGATTTCATTATTATAATCTACGTACTGGTATTATAGAGATTTTATATTATTTTTTGGGCAATTAATTATTTAAAATCCGTAGACTATTCGAGGTCACAATTTATATTGTTGAATAGATATCGAGATCACGAACGCATAGGCGAAAGCCGTTTGCAAGTCCGGATTATAACGGTATAGTTACGGACGTTTGAAGTTGTTGTTAAAAAAAATGAAAAAGCCACGGGAGTGGCTGAAAGAGAAAAGAAAAAGAAAGCCACAGGAGTGGCGGGAGAAAGGAAAAAAGAAAAAAAAAAAAAAAGGGGGGGGTGGATAACAGGTCTTTTGACCCATGAGACACAAACCGGCGAGATTCATGGTCTCCCGCCCAATTTCCGGCGAGATGAAGGTCCCCCACCACCTGAAAGTCATCTCTCATCATTCCTTCTACCTATTCCACCCCAAATTGGAGTGGAATTAATCTTGGAATTTGGGGAACCCGCACCATGGGTGACGCGGGAACCATTGCTCGAAATCCATCAATTGTGAAATGTTTTCCTTCAACTACTACTACCAAAGCACTCTCCTATAACCCAGAAACAAAGCACAAGCAGTGGTGGAGGCGTCGGAGCAAGTTTGGAGGTCGAATTGAACACACCTATTCTAAGGTTTTCGTACGGTTTTCGCAAAATTGGGGACTTTTTAGGCCAAATTGGACTTGGTCATAGGTATAAAGTTTACTCTACTCTTTAAGATATTCAATTCTGTAATTTTTGAGAATTTTTTTAAATAGTTGAATTTTCCAGCAAGCCGGGGCAGCCGACCGCCACCCACGGCGGTGTGTGACCTGTGGGCTGATGATTTCTTTTTAAGCACTATTAGATGCCCTGGGTTCATGTTTGAAATCCGTATGACGTAATTTGATTGTTTGGACTTAGTTTCATTTTGATACGTGAATAGGTCAAAATAGAAATCGACGATCCGACTGTTGAATCGTCACCAAACTTTAATATGTTATAGTACGTAATATTTGGGGATCATAGGAACTTACGGATCGCAAATCCGATGTACGGATCTTCTTGAATTAGATTTCTAAGTTAATAAAATTAATTGTTAACCGCCACCTAATTCTAGCAATGGGCGAAGATCCGACCGTCGGATTGCGATGAGATTTTAGTACGTTGTTCTTTGAGAATAATGTGGACCCTATGAAGTTACGGATCTAGATTATGATGTGTGGATCTTCTAGATCAAATTTTGTAGCGTTGTGGATCCTACTGTTGACCAAGAATTGACTTTTGGTCAACATGTCTCGAAACGTTCTAATTACTAAAATTAGTACTACGGGGATCTAAGTGAAGCCTAGTGGGACCACATTGGTTTGAGAGTGACTTGAATATATGTCATATAACTATTACCTTGATTTCTTATATTAATATCATTTGTGAATAGGATGTGGATTATAAATGAAATTCTATTGAAATGTGAATTAATTCACATTTCAATAGAACCTATTCACATATGATATTAATAGAACCTATTCACAGATGAATTAATTCACATTTCAATAGAATTTCATTTATAACCTATCAATAGAATTAAGTTCCTATGATCATCAAATATTACTTACTATAACATATTAAAGTTTGGTGACGATTCAACAGTCAAATCGTCGATTTCTATTTTGACCTATTCACGTATCAAAATGAAACTAAATCCAAACAATCAAATTATATCATACGGATATCAAACATGAACCCATGGCATCTAATAGTGCTTAAAAAGACATCATCGGCCCATAGGCCACACGCCGCCGCAGGTGGCAATCGGCCACCCCGACTTGCCGGAAAATTCAACTATTTTAAAATTTTCTCAAAAATTACAGAATTGAAGATATCAAAAAGTAGAGTAAACTTTATACATGTGGCTAAGTCCAATTTGGCCTAGAAAGTCCCCAATTTTACGAAAATCGTACGGAAACCTTAGAATGGGTTTGTTCAATTTGACCTCCAAACTTGCTTTGACGCCTCCACCACTGCTTGGGCTTTGTTCCTGGGTTCGAGGGGCGTGCTTTGGTATTAGTAGTTGAAGGGAAACATTTCACAATTGATGGATTTCGAGCAATGGTTCCCGCGTCACCCATGGTGCAGGTTCCCCAAATTCCAAGACTAATTCCACTCCAATTTGGGGTGGAATAGGTAGAAGGAATGATGAGAGATGACTTTCAGGTGGTGGGGGACCTTCATCTCACCGGAAATTGGGCGGGAGATCATGAATCCTGCCAGTCTGTGTCTCACCGGTCAAAAGACCCGTTTTCCACCCCCCCCCCTTTTTTTTCTTTTTTTCCTTTCTCCCGCCACTCCAGTGGCTTTCTTTTTCTTTTCTCTTTCAGCCACTCCCGTGGCTTTTTCTTCTCTTTTTTTTTTAACAACTTTAAACATCCGTAACTATACCGTTATAATCCGGACTCGCAAATGATTTTCGCCTATGCGTTCGTGATCTCGATATCTATTCAACAATATAAATTGTGACCTCAAATGGTTTACGGATTTTAAATAATTAATTTCCCGAAAAATAATATAAAATCTTTATAATATCAATACGTAAATTATAATAATGAAATCCAGGAACGGGATTTCACAATTTCGGCTAAAAAGCCTTATAAATTATTATACCAAAAGCATAAAGTCTTAGAAAGCCATGAAGAATTTCACTTTTAAAAAAGTCTCATTAGCACTTCTCATAAAAAAAATGTAACTAATTAATATTAAATGACGAAAACAACTTCAATTCCCATGTATGTGAATAACTGTAGTAGTTATGTATTGGATAAGATAAGGATGATAAGGAGGAGGTATTAAAGTACTTCCATTGGACAAAACTTTGAAATACATAGTTTTACTCCACTAGTTAGTACCCAACCCCATGATTAATGACACGTATTTGATTCCTTTCTCATTCTGTAGTGAGCATTTTTGTTCACCATCTTACATATTTATAATCATCTATCACGTGTCATTTCATTTAATTTTGGTTATTTTTTTTTAAATTGAATAAGTAATATTTAATATGAAAGTTAGCTAGAGTTAAGTGAAATGATACATGACAAATAATTAGATGTATGGTGAGCATACACCATAACTGTGAAAGCGAGCCAAAATGCTCCCATACAAGTTTAAACTGATTTTCCTATTGTTATTATTGGACTATTTTTTTTTAAACCAAATTAGGTAAGATATGGTGTTTAACGAAGGAGACTTAATGCTTTAAAGACATGTCTTAGCGACGTTTTAATTGATTTTTTTAAACACTGTTTGCAACAAAAGGTCTGAATATAAACGGTTATGTTAGGAAAACTAAAATTTTAAACTAAATTTTACAAATCAAATGATGTGATTGTTGTTTATTAGATTATTACTTAAGTATTGATTAAGGCTTATTATATTAGTACCCCACAAATTATTGAATAAACCCCACATTTACTTTTTCAATTAAAATTTATCTTAATACACCCCACTTCATTCCCCATAATACTCTCACACCCTACATTCTTAATATACACCTTATAGTTTCTACACACACCTCACATTTCTCAAATCTTATAACACTCATTTTTTATTTTGCCGAATGATTTCAAACTATCTGAACGTTAGTTTGCCGAATGATTTCAAATTGAATGATTTCAAAAAATGTTTAGGTTCATTTGATAAGTCATTAATATTAAATTTTAAAGTGAGGTACATTCAACATTTTGTGGAATGCTAATATAAGAAGGCTTGATTAATATACTTATTTCTTATTAATGATATACCATTTGATTTGCAAAAATTTTAATTTCCTTTAACATTATTAGAATATAAAACCTTTGACTGTGTCATACAAAAGCTATAGTTCTTCCATGCGGAATGAGAAACTGAGGAAAGCAGCAGCCCCACCACGAAGTGTTTTTTCTAATTATGTACCGATCAAACGTCACTAAGGACTAAGCACAACAAAACATTAGTACCATATTTTTCTACCGCTACCGTACAAACAATTGTTCATACGAGTCTACACGACCACAAGTCCATGTACCTTATAGCCAACTCGCTTAGACTTTTGAAAAATCATTCTGCCACCCTAGATTCATTCATTGGTTTCCACTTTGATGCGTCGGGATTTGATTCGTCAATGTAGGTTTTGTTCAAGCACTCTTCTATTATCAAATTAAGATTTAATTTTACTAACGTTATCATATCAAAAATACGTTAGTACATAATGTTGAAGGATGTATTCCATGAATGAATTTTAACACTACTTATATCGTTGTCGACCTATTCAAGAGCTAGTGCTCAAACACCGTCAAGTGGTTAAAATTCTAAAGGTAAAGAAGGATTCAAAATCTTTTAACACATCAAAATTTTAACAACTTTCAAAAGACCCCATAATTGTGATTTTGATCAAGCAATGTCACAAGAATGTTAGTCAGACAAAGTTGGTATAAACATGCAGACTGACTGATGAACAGAAAATGCAAAAACAAAAGCTAAAAGCAAATTGGAAGGAAATTTCCTCTGAACTCCGAAGGGAATTGTTGGCTGGATTTCTCTTTCCTCACTGCCTTTTTTTTCTTCATCAAATTCCAGAACGTTTGAATTTTCTGCACCAAAACCAAAGTCTCCTCTCAACAAATGGGTCTTTAAGGAACAATATTTTCTCTGGTCAGATGCTTCAAATAGGTAGTTAATATCCACTCAAATCACACACAGTTTCTTAATATTTAATTCTTACTAATCTGGCTCATTTTTCATTTGTTTATGTTTTTGGTCTTCAAATTTGCTTTTTGGGTTGTCTTCTCTACCTTGCTTGTTGCTTCTCAACCTTACCTACCTTCCTCACAACAATCTAAAAATTGTTTAATTATTTATATTATATTACCAATAACTGCAAGGAGGAATTTTGGCCCCTTCCCTTTGTCTTAATCCCAAGGTCAAATCCTCAACTCTCTCCTCTTTCTTCAAAGTTCAGACCAAACTCTCAGCTTCCTCTTCATTTTTGTGTTCTTCATCCTTCACTTGCAGCAAGCAGAGCAGGTACATCTCTCTTCTTTTCCCTCCTATATTTTTTATATTTATTTATTTATTTATTTACTTTTGTTTCTTAAATCTCTCCCCTTATATGTGAACTTAATTGTCATGAATTAAATTTGCATATATAGTATTGTATTTACAGATAGTTAAGTGTTTATGAAATCATTGGTCCAGGCAGGCATGGATCTCTCTCTCTCTCTCTCTCTCTGTGATGACGTTTATGCATGTTGTTGTAATCTCAGAAAATTTCTGTCATGATGTTTTGACAACTTTGTTCCTCTGCAATTGCCAGCTGCCATGAAACAAGAATTTTGTTTGTTTTTTGGGTTCCTTTGGAGTTCTCATGTTGTTTAAGGGGTTCTCTTATTTCAGAATCGGTTCAGCTTATTTCAGAATTTGTTCAGCTCGTTCAGGGTTTTCTTAATTGTAGCTTGTAATTGGTTAGGCTCATACAATTTCAACATTTTGATACAAGCGATATTGGGGGAGGGGGAATTGAACTTGGGACCTCAAGCGCAGGGGTGAATGCTCATACAATTCCATTGATTTTGCTTTCTTGCACAACTTTTTTTACCCGGTTTAGTAGACATTACTAATTTGATGTGGTATTAATTGTGTTTACGTTTGCGCGTAATTTCTATCTGTTGGGTCAATTTTGCTAGTTTCCAGGTTTAATGATTGTTTGAAAGTAATTTACCCTCTAATCTTTTACAAATTGTGATACAGAACTCGAATTGTGTGATAGAACTTGTCTTCCTCAACGACCGAAAAAGTAACCAAAACCATGTCTTTAGTTCGGCCATCAGAGCTCTCCACATCGTACAGAAATCCTAATTTCTACTCTCTAAAGGGCAGCAATGATAGTTCCAGCTTGTCAACTCAAATATTTGGCTCTGATAAGCACAAGGTGGTGTATTCGGATGATCCTTACAGCACTGAGAGTTACGAGAAGTACTTCCTTGACTCCCCAATGGAAGAAGATACACATCCATCCAACTCAGGCGTTTCTGGGAGTTCGACTAACCCACAAGGTGCCTCATCTTACCAGCTAACAGCTGGATCGGTTTCCTCCTTGAATACTCAAAATCCATTTAGCACTTCTTTAATGTCCAATTTTGAATCAGATTACTTAGAGAGTCAAAGCCCCGATGCGGATAGCTTTGATGAAGATAAAATGAGATTGAAGCTTAAAGAATTGGAGAGAGCACTCCTTGATGACAACGCAGATGAAGACGATGGGGAGATAAATTGCAGTAGTCAAAGCATGGAAGTGGATGAATTGTTCCATGACTCACCCAAGGAGTCTTCGTCCTCTGATTCTAACGCGAGCAGCATCAGCAGCAACAAAGAAATATCACAGGTTTCTCCTCGGACACCCAAGCAGCTGCTTTTTGAGTGTGCTGGTGCACTCTCAGAGGGAAATGTCGAAGAAGCATCAACAATGATAAATGAGCTCCGACAGATGGTATCAATTCAAGGAGATCCTACACAAAGGATTGCGGCTTACATGGTGGAAGGCCTAGCAGCTCGCGTGGCTTCCTCAGGAAAATTTCTTTACAAGTCTTTGAAATGCAAGGAACCGCCGTCCTCTTATCTCCTTGCAGCCATGCAAATCCTTTTTGAGGTGTGTCCTTGCTTTAAATTTGGATTTATGGCAGCAAATGGAGCCATCATAGAGGCATGCAAAGATGAAAAGAGAGTTCACATCATAGATTTTGACATAAACCAGGGGAACCAATACATAACCCTCATACAAACACTTTCGAGTCTGCCAGGTAAGCCACCACACTTGAAGTTAACAGGGGTGGATGATCCCGAGACAGTTCAGCGTCATGTTGGAGGCCTAAAGATCATTGGACAAAGGCTTGAGAAGCTAGCAGAAGCACTGAAAGTTCCATTCGAGTTTCATGTAGCCTCGAGGACTTCAATCGTCAATACCTCAATGCTCGGCTGCAGGCCTGGGGAAGCACTTGTGGTTAACTTTGCTTTTCAGCTTCACCACATGCCAGACGAAAGTGTTTCAACAGTTAACCAGAGGGACCAGCTTCTTCGGATGGTGAAGAGCTTGAGGCCAAAACTCGTTACAGTTGTAGAACAAGACATGAACACCAATACGACCCCTTTTCTCCCAAGATTTGTTGAAGCCTACAACTATTACTCTGCTGTTTTTGATTCCCTTGATGCAGCTCTCCCCCGGGAGAGTCAGGATAGGATGAATGTTGAAAGGCAGTGTCTGGCACGGGACATAGTGAACATTGTAGCGTGCGAAGGAGAGGAAAGAATAGAGCGGTATGAGGTAGCTGGGAAGTGGAGGGCAAGGATGACCATGGCAGGATTTACTTCATGTCCTATGAGCACCAGTGTGACTGATTCGATTCGGGATCTTAGCAGACGGTACAGTGAGAGGTACAAGGTGAAGGAGGAGGCGGGGGCGCTTCATTTCGGATGGGAAGAAAAAAACTTGATTGTTGCTTCAGCGTGGAGGTGATCTTCGGCTCCAAACTACTGCTATGCTTTCATTCAGTTTTGTACTTTGATTTTGTGTGGGGTTCAAGAGTTATGGCTATATATCAGTAATTTCGGAGTGTTTATAAATAAGGAACGTAGGGAGCTGCTAGTTTTCTAACACTGATAAACGATCTCGATGCTTGTAATAGAATAACTTTATATAATCTCCTATATAATTTTGTGTGGACATGTCGCCAATGTGTTGATACTGTTTGATATTGCAAATTTAAAATTCTCAATATGTTCCGCGATTTTGTATTCATAAATGGAACAAAAGGTTATATTGACGGTGATTCTCAAATATTGCAAAATAGAATGTGAATAAGATGGGATAGAAACAAAGACTTCGGATATAAATTTGCTTTTAACCAACTTAGCTACAAGTCTACAATCTCTCGCGTCATTTGGTCATTCTTAAGGAGTCATTTGACCAAATGACGACGCAAGGGTTGTAGGCTTGTAGCTAATTTGGTTAAGAACAATTTTACATCCGAGGCCCCAAGTTCAATTCTCGTCCCCCAGGATCGCTTCTATAAAAAAGAATGACTAAAAACTAGAAAAAGTACATATACCATGAGTTTCTGAAAACCCCTGGAATGGGTATGCTAATAGGAGAACACTATTAATCATTTCTTTCTTCATATATCAAACAATTAACTTCAAATATGATGGATCATCAAAATTGTGATTACTGTAAATAAATTACAAGATCAGAAAATACAATTAGGACTTCCCTCTGGCAAGTAAGCGAGTTAAATGCTCCGACATTTCTACTACTTTCTCGTCCCCTCTTTTAAGATATCTCCTTGTTTTCTTCCCATACATTCCTACTTACGTTTAAAGGGTTTTTGTTATCTGTCCAAGCCTCCCAACTAATCATTCCGACAATAGTGCTGTTTGAACATTCCAAGACACCAAACCGCCTTGCTCTTCTGAGTGAAGTGGTAAAAGCAGCTGGAAAGCTCAACTTTGTCCAGCTCTCATCACCTAATCTTTGCTGGAAGTCACCCCTACAAGCCTTTGAATTACTCAACTCTTCACACCAACAAAACACAGTGCTACCTCAGCTTGGGCTTGGAGCTCTTCCAAGACCTTTACAATGCTCTCACGGCACATTGTTGTTTCACTACGATCCATAAGCATTTTCTTTAATCTTCGTCCATGTACAAGAAAAGTTAACAGGGTCAGATGTGAATCAACTCTAATTAAGTATCTTGGCATGCAACAATCCAGATAAATCCATATTATTCTATTACATGTCAACCAAATGGCTTCTATTAAATAACTCTCTTATAATAAGATGTCCCAACGACGTTTGAGTTTCAGAAAATTTACACTCACGTTTCATATCAAATTACTACCCATACCAACATTCAAAATCACCACCAATCTGACAGTGGCAATAGGTAAATTCAACAAGCAGAGTCAACTAGTCATCTATTGCCCTATAAATATATTTTCAAGGAACAAAGGAAAACTAACAATGTAAATAAATTAATAACTATCAAGGTGAAATGTAGTACATACCTAGAGACAGTAGCTATATCTCCATGACCAGTGCAGACAATAAGCATGGCATTAGTGGGCAATGAGGCATACAAGGTATGTATTCTAGTATCCAGTCGCATAAGAATTTCCTTTAGTTCAGACGTTAAGCTGCATCTAATACCTTTTTTATTTCCAGAATTCTTATGACATGTAAGCAAGGATATCAACTCCGCAATTTTTCCATTCAATTTCTCAGCATCCTCTGCTTGTTTAGTGAAATAACGATTCAATTCAGAAAACTGGGTCCAGATGAATTGCACTTTCTCATTCCTTGCCTACAATCAAAAGTAAATGTTACGTAGCCAAGCCAAATGATAAAGACGAGAAAATAGGTGAACACAGCCGTTACAAGTCTACCTCCTTTTGAGCTTTTGAAAGAGCTTCGTCATCAGAGAACACAGGCACTGCATGGGATAATTCAGAGGCATGACGCTTCACAATGGAAATATCATCAATGATAGAGGAGGTCTTTCCGCTCTCACTCAAAACAGTTAGGAACCTTTTCCGTACCAGTGATGGTGCTGTACCAAAGTCAGGTCCTAATCCAGCAAAAGAAGCATTCTTATAACAGACATCGACAGATTTAAGGACATACTAATTATCAGATGCAGAACTATACCTATTTACTATTAGTTATTTAATTACTCCTTCCACCTCAGGCTCAGACAAGGTATCAAATTCTGACATCTGGAAGCCACTAAACTTTTGAAACAACAGTGTTCTATTTTCCATATAAATTAAGAATAAATGTATGCTGGCAATGACAAGGTTCAATATAAGTTGTACATTAAGGAGGTGATAGATACCACACTAGTTGAGTTCCACTATTTTCCATAAATTGGCCAATCATACAATGTAAATGCAAAAGATAGTCACGTACCATGTCTAATCTTTAAAAGTGCCAGGTCCATAGCAGCTCTTGCATCTTCAATACTGTCATGGCCAAGCCCTGACTGCTGTATCTCTTTAGAAAGAAATTTCTGGGCAAGATCTCGAAGTTTAGATTTGTAAGACCTACCACGGGGGTACTTGTACAACACTGCAGTATCGATCACTAGATTGTGGGAGATTTTTAATGCTAACAAGTCATTTTCCAAGGAATGCCCCACTAGCACGGTCTCCTTGTAAACCAGCTTTAGAAAGTCCTCCTGAGCATAGAAAGCAACTGTTATAAATTAGAATCAAAGAGTTACTTAACAGGAAATGACAAAATTAACAGTGAAGCAGCATCTCACGAGTCACAACTATGGAAAACACGAAGCGCAAATGTAATACATATATATGTACAAATAGCGAACAAGACCCAAGGATTAACCTGAATTTCTTTAAGAATTGTAGTCACCCCATCTAACATCTCACTTGTGATTCCGCTAAACCTGAACAGGAAATTGATTGTTATTGTTTTAATCTTTTTATAAGAAGCCTCTTGTCGTTCATACCGCAAAAATTCAAATATTAAACCTGCAAACAAATTACAGGGATGAAGCGAATCCAGAGAAAGCAACAACATTAAGAATCACCTTTATCCAGAAATAAATCATGAAAAGTGATGATTTCTAAAGATTTACAACTTTCCCAGAAATGTTTTATTTCTCATAGAGTAGTAAACTACCAAAGCCCAAGTGTGGTTGAGTTATAAACGTTTAAACTCACTCCAATTCAGGATTCCAACCTTGCAAAGAAACTAAAATTTATTTCCAGCCTGCTGCTAGGGTTGGGTCTCGTTGTAGAAGACACCTACTGGATCATCATTTTAGTTTTTTGAGTTGAGACTTGAGATGTACTGGTGGAACTCAGTTGGAGAAAGAGGGAGTTTTTTCTGGAAGAAACTTAAGGCTGCAGTATTGGATGGGATTTGAGTAGAGATGGAAGAAAAGATGTGGACACAAACCCAGCATGTCATAGAGGGTTTTTTTATAAAAAAAATAAACACCAAAATTGAGTTGCTTTAAAATATCCTTGGCCAGCTAAGGAAAATTGATGTCGGTTGCATAACAATATATTAAAAGAAGAAGAAAAAAAAAAAAAAACAGAGCTGCCACTGCAGCGCCCCAGACTGCATGACAATAAATATGAATTCCAAGAAGCAATTCTAACTGCTTCAACACATAGAGCAACATATCAAAGGAAGGACTAATGAAAGCTAAAATGATAACATACCTGGTATTATAATCAGTGATAGGATTTGTTGGTTTAACCAATTTATCTAGCACAACCTGAGATTCATTAAAAGAAAAGTTCAAGCAATGAGAAGAAAAGTTCTTTAGGTGGTAACCAAGTCATTTGTACAAAACTACGTAGAACAAATTTAAGACTAGGGGTTGCACAAAAGTTTTAAAGCATTCGGAATCACACTAGTCAAAATTTCAGACAAAATCTTGTTAAGCAAGAATTTGATATCATAGATATGAGGATTCAAAAAAACCTATATGATTCAGACATGGATAAAATGTTGACCCTAGTGAACCAGAGATTTCTAGCTTCAAGATTGTGCCGTTAGCAGGATGGGATAAGATGCGAATTAGAAAATATGCTGAAGCCCTGATATTTGGAAATGATAATCTAGCAACACTAGGAAATGAGCATCTCCGGCAGTTTCTTTTAAAAAAAAATTAGTTTAGCTTGTGTAACCAAAAACTATTTTAGCTTTAGCCCATTTAATTTAGTGTCTCCAACACTACAAACAAACTCTAAATATTTTACTCTAAAGAACCCATCTTTCTCATCATTCTCATCCCTTGACATCTCTCTCCACAATTAATACATTTTAATGTTTAGCTAACTCTCTAAATTCTCTCTCCTTCTCTTTAAAGTTAAGAGCAACTATTCACAAAAACTAAAATAAAGAGTGGGATAGAGTCTCTTGGAGCTTGATTTCACTGGTTTGGCTCTGTAAAATAGCTATCCAAAGAAGTCTAAAAGAGTCTCTCGGAGATGCTCTACAAGTGGACCAGAGAAAATTAGTTCAGGGACATTGACAATGGTTTAGGGACTAAAAAGAGACAAAACCTAAGTTCAGAGACATTAGCAAGATTTACTCAAACAAGAAAGTTAATGCATAAATCACTCAGATATTACGTTTTATTCAACTGAACTTACAAGTTTTGAAACATTCAAGTATAAATAAGACCACTAAACCATTGCCAAGTCAGAAAACAAATGCAACTTGTCCTTTAAATAAATTCATAAAGAACAAATTGCATGAAACTCACACATCCCTTCAGATTAACATCCAGTTCCTTTTGCACAATTAGGAAACAAAATAGTTAAAACTTACATCTCCTTTCATAGTCACCAGCGTTGCTCTTGTTAGCTCAAAACCCTCACTTGTGATACACTAACAAAAAAAAATGGATCAACCAAGATGACATCAGTACACGGCTACTTTGTGAGAACAGAAAAAGAAAAATGAACTTAATTTACCACTATCCGAACAATTCATCTGACATGTATAAAACAAGTTGAAAGGACGAATACACCTCAACAATGAACTTCCCACAAGATAACAGTTATTTAGTACTATATGTGAAGTTGTTAACAAACTTCTTTCTTATCTTCAGAAATTGATATTTAAGGATTTACCATCTCGCAATCAAGTGCCAGCATTTGATAGTGGGATGATCCTGAAGGGGCCGGAAGAGTAGAAAGAAAACCTGCATTGATAGAAAATAATAATCAATAATA